GCAGAAGTTCGAAAAAGTTGCTCGCAAAAGCCCGTTTGACAGAAATGTTTAAAAAGTGTTGGGTTTCCTACGAATCCGCAAGAGCGCGCGGGATGAGATTTTGACAATTTTTTGTTGAAAAACCATTGGTTTTTTGATGTTTTTATGTTAAAATCGCTCGAACACTAAGGTTTTGGAAGGATTTCGTCTTGCGCGCGCGAATGTCCACTTTACCTTATTTTTTGCAAGGGATTCTTGAAATTTGATTATATTAGAACAAGAAATGTCATTTTATAGTGTTTTTTGCAAGGGAAAACGGATTACAACAAAACAACCGGATCTTGATGACATCGTATTACCTGAGGCTTCCTCACGAAAATGATGAAAATGTAGCTGCGGCCTAGGCGGCGCAGGGGGGCCGTGCACCAGGGGTCCCAACAATAATTATTCTTTAGAATTAATAATGTTCAACAACAACAACAACAACAATCATTTTACCCTCATGCGCCATGCTTCCACATGACACATGCATCCATCTGGATAACACACCCCATCATGGGGGATTTTTCTGGCATGCGGGATCCGATATTCCCTCACCCAGATATCCCGCCCAAGAAGGTTTGGCCACCACCTCTTCCGAGGAACTTCAACATCCATAGCTCGGACGGCACATCGCCTTCGCAATCGCCTTGCGCATGCCCCGCATCTCAGAGGGAGAGGAAGAGGAAGAGGAGGGGGAGATGAGAGAGATAGGGAGGGGGAGGAGGAGAAGGGAGGGGGAGGAGGGGGAGGAAGGATGAGTAGTTGTAGTAGCAGCAGTTGATGATATTGTTGTTGCGGCTGTAGCACTAGTAGTAGTGGTAACGGTAGTAGTAGTCCAAGTAAGTAGAACTGGCTTGTGGCAGCCAAGCGTTCGTAGCGACGTTGCTTTTTGATCCTCCTTTAATGTCTTCTTTCCCTATCCTTGAGACGCAGAAGTCTCAAAAAGTTTGATGGTTCAGCACATCCAGGAAACCTATCGCTGGACCGGCCCAGATATGGTTCCAGAAGCGGCTCGGGAAGCTGCGCAGGCGCCAGAAGCAGAGAAGCACCACGTACGGGCGCCGGCTCGGGCGTCCGGCTCATAGCCGCTCCAGAATCGGCCCAGGACGGCTTCCCTGGCGCCGCAAGCAAAAATTCAGCATTTTCGAAAGAAAAATGTGTATTGGAATGGCCTCTTTTAACTGCCCGGGCGTCCGGCCCGGGAGCCGGGCCGGGTGCCGGCCGGGCCGGGTGCCGGCCCGAGCTCCGGAATCGGCCCGGACGGCCTCCCTTCCAGGGCGCCGGGCGCCGGAAGCAGAAATTCAGCATTTTCGAAAGAGAAATGTGTATTGGAATGGCCTTTTTTCGGCGCCGCCTCGGAACTCGATTTTCCGGCGCCCGGGCGCCGGCTCGGGCGCCGACCCGGGCGTCCGGCCCGGGAGCCGCTCTCGGCGGCGAGCAAGAGCACCGAACCCGAGTAAAAAAGGAGGAAGTCTCGAGCAGGAGCGTTGTTGTTGTTGGGGGGCCGGTTTTGGCGGAACCCCAAAACGCCTGAGCGCGAGCTTCAATTTCAGAGGAAATGCGGCCGGCGCCTCGGCGAGAGCGCCAGGGCGAATATAGGGGGTCCAACAATAATAATTGTTTAGTAATTAAGGTTCAACAACAACAACAACAACAACAACAACAACAACAACAACAACAACAACAACAACAACAACAACAACAACAACAAGCATTTTAAGACTGATCGCCCTTATCTGCTCCAGTGTCCAATCATGCGTATTTCCCAAACCCTCGATCCCCGCCCTTTTCGTCTTCGATCGAACCCCTTGTGGGGGGTATACCTTTCTTCCCTGCAGGCCGGGTCCCGGCAAGCGGCGGGGCGGCCGCGGACCGTCGGCCTGGCCAGCGGCAGCGCTGATCGGCGGGGTGGCCGCGGACCGTCGACCCGACCCCAGGAGGGACGGACAGGGGACCGACCACGACGACGACGACGACGACGACGTCGACGACGACGGCGACGACGACGACGACGGCGACGACGACGACGAGCGAAAGCGAGAGCGAGAGAGAACGACAGCAGAGCCACGAAGGACACGAAGTATGCCACGAAGGGCGACAGCGGAGACACGAAGGGAATGCATATGGGGCCACGAAGAGCGCGAACGAGCGGGGGCCACGAAGGGCAGACAATGCGAGGCCACAGAAGCAGCGATGGGGCCACTGAGGGTAGCAACTGGGCCACGTAGGACAGTGAGGGGGCCACAAACGGCGACAGCGGGGCCACGAAGAACATGCACATGGGGCCACAACGGGCGCGAACGAGCGGGGGCCACGAAGGGCATACGTATGTTGTATGTTGGGCCGCGGAGGGCAAGGACGGGGCCACTGAGGGCAGCAACGGGGCCACGAAGGGCAGCGAGAGGGCCACGAAGGGCGTCAGCGGGGCCACGAAGGGCATGCATATGGGGCCACCACTGGCGCGAACGAGCGGGGGCCACGAAGGGCATACATATATGGGGCCACGAAGGGCAGCGAGGGGGGGCTGCAACGGGGCCACGAAGGGCAGCGAGAGGGCCACGAAGGGGTGCAACGGGGCCACGAAACAAAGCGAGGGAGCCACGAAGGGCTGCAACGGGGCCACGAAACAAAGCGAGGGGGCCATGAAGGGCTGCAACGGGGCCACGAAACAAAGCGAGGGGGCCACGAGGGGCCGCAACGGTGCCACGAAACAAAGCGAGGGGGCCACGAAGGGCTGCAACGGGGCCACGAAACAAAGCGAGGGGGCCACGAAGGGCTGCAACGGGGCAACGAAGGGCTGCAACGGGGCCACGAAACAAAGCGAGGGGGCCACGACGAAGGGCTGCAACGGGGCCACGAAACAAAGCGAGGGGGCCACGAAGGGCTGCAACGGGGCCACGAAGGGCAGCGAGATCCCGACTCCTAGGTAATCTGTGAGGGAGTCCTAAGCGTGAGCGCGACTCCTGGGTGCCTGGGTGTTGGGAGCGCGGCGCTTGAGTAAATTGCAAGAAATTCCAACGCGGGGGCGCTAGTCGCCAGTACATTGCAAGCAAATCTCCATCGAGAGCACGACTCCAGAGCGCTGGGAGAACGATCCCATAAGAAATAGTAAGGGGGTCCCAAGCAATAGCGCGATTCCTGAATAAAATGCGAGGAAATCTCGGGCGGGAGCGGGGGTCCTGGCTAAATCGCGAGGAAGTCTCAGGCGGGAGCAGTTGCTGTTGTAACCCGGGGGTCAGGGGCACAGTTTGAGCATCAAGACTTTCCCGAGCGTCGAGGGGCACACTTTGATTAAGAAAAAACAATCTGCACCAGTGAGGGGGGATCGCCAATAATTATTCTTCAGATATGAGTTCAACAACAACAACAACAACAACAACAACAACAACAATCACTTTACCCGAACGCTCAGTGTTCTCACCAGTGCCAGGGTTTTCATGCGACGCCAGCCAATACCCCCACTTTGTGGGGGGGCAGTGCAAGCTCTACCAAATATCCACACGACTCTTCGCCACCACCCACACCCAGCTTCCCGCCCTATGACGTTCGGACACTTCACTTCGTGGCCTGCGGACGACCGTGGCTACTACACTGGCGTGGAGTACACACCCACAGAAGTTGTGAAGCCTACGTTCGTACACCCACAGAAGTTGTTAAGCCTTGTGAACCCACAAGGCTTAACAACTTGTGAACCCACACCCGTTGCAAGAGCGTGCGAAAGTAGCTCGCGCGAGCTCATGTAACATAAATGTTGGAAAACCATTGGTTGTTTTAGGATTCGGACAGCGCGCGCGGGTGGAAATTTTGAAAAGTCGTGCAGGTGTTTTTCGAGGACCTACGGTGCGATTCGTGTGATTTTATGATGCGCGGTGCTAAAATTCTTAAAAACCCAATGGTTTTTGGAGATTTCGGCGTGCGCGCGCGAAGAAAAAACGAATGTGTCCCGCATGGTATTATTTGACAGGGATGATGGCCCTGGCAGGTGCGCAACCGTTGTCGCAGAAGTTCGAAAAAGTTGCTCGCAAAAGCCCGTTTGACAGAAATGTTTAAAAAGTGTTGGGTTTCCTACGAATCCGCAAGAGCGCGCGGGATGAGATTTTGACATTTTTTTGTTGAAAAACCATTGGTTTTTTGATGTTTTTATGTTAAAATCGCTCCGAACACTAAGCTTTTGGAAGGATTTCGTCTTGCGCGCGCGAATGTCCACTTTACCTTATTTTTTGCAAGGGATTCTTGAAATTTGATTATATTAGAACAAGAAATGTCATTTTATAGTGTTTTTTGCAAGGGAAAGCGGGGGGGAACAAAACAACCGGATCTTGATCACATCGAATTACCTGAGGCTTCCTCACGAAAATGATGAAAACTGCGGCCTAGAGGCGAAAATGATGAAAATGTAGCTGCGGCCTAGGCGGCGCAGGGGGGCCGTGCACCAGGGGTCCCAACAATAATTATTCTTTAGAATTAATAATGTTCAACAACAACAACAACAACGCAACGAGCATAATCCTCACCACGGATCCCCACTTCAGCCACGCACCCAGGGACAGTGAATGACCGTTATGATTTGTAGATACACACCTATGTATATAGACACACATGCATCTGTATGTATGGCTACTCTTCCTCTTCCTCCTCCTCCTCCTCCTCCTCCTCCTCCTCCTCCTCCTCTTGTATAGATGTATAGATACACAATATACATACTAGCAATGTGCATTCTCTCTGTCATGCGTATGTATTTCTATGTATGTATGCCTCCTCCTCTTCCTTTTCCTCCTCCTCGGCGACCAATCCCTCCTCCTCCTCCTCCTCCTCTCCTCCTCCTCCTCCTCCTCCTCCTCCTCCTCCTCCTCCTCCTCCTCCTGCTCTCTCCTCCTCCTCCCCCTCTCATCCTCACCGTCGCTTTCCTCCTCCTCCTCCTCCTCCTCCTCCTCCTCCTCCTCCTCCTCGACGAACCCATTCGGCAACGGCCGCTCGGCCTCCAAGGTCACCCGGGCGGCCTCGCAAGCTTCCTCGTGCTCCGCGGCGGCGGCCTTCGCGCCGGCCAGGTCGGCCACGTGCCGCTGTTCGGCCTGGGCCACGGGTTCGTATGTACTGCGCTGGGCTGCGGTCACGTGCGACTGCGTCGAGGATCAGCATCATCATCACCCTCATCATCATCATCATCATCATCATCATCATCATCATCATCATCATCATCATCATCATCATCATCATCATCATCATCATCATCACGACCACCACCATCATCATCATCATCATCATCATCATCATCATCAGCATTATCGTCCGTAGCAATTTTGGCTCAAGATGATGCGATCAGGGCAGATGTCTGGTCCCATGTGGCTGGCTCTAGCCGTCGCGTCACTTCTTGGGTCAGATTCCAAATCGACCAAGCTTTCAGCGAGGCGTTCGCGCCACAGTTCTTTCAAATCCATAATCTTTTCCGACGCCCGGCCCCAGTCGCCCGATTGGGAGCCCAGCCGCGGCGGGCTCGGCCAATGGCAGGACATGGTGGTGGTGCTCGGGGTGCCGCGCGTGGCGGCGGCGGCAAAGGCGGCAGAGGCGGACGCGGGGGAGGTCAGCCAGGCGGAGTTGGGGGCAGCAGTGGTGGAGGCAGCCAGCCCAAAGCCTGGGATTGCCCCAAGTGCGGAGCCAAGAAAAACTGGGGCTCCAGGCACGTTTGTCGCAGCTGCGGATTTGATTGGTGGGAGCAACGATCTGGGGCAAGCTGGTGGTGGCGTGTCATGTCACAGCTGGACGCCAAGGAACGCCACGAGCTCAACCAGTTGCGGCGCAAGGTCAGGAGCTCGAAGGAGATTCTCGTGCAGCTTCAGGGGGCGATGCAGGCGCAGCATCAGCAGCAGCCCATTCCTCCCCGAAAGACGAGATAGTACGGCGACTTGGGAAGCTTCGGACCGACATCAAAAAGCTCCCAGGAGTGGAAGGCCCAGCCGAGATACTGGCGGGCAAGCGGCAGGAGACACGGCAGCTGGAACTCGAGCCCTCCGAGGAGAAGCCCACGCCCGTTCAGCTCAGCGAGCTCGAGCGCAAGCAGCGGAACCAGCAGAGCACCTCGGAGGCGCTTGCCAGGAAGATCGCGGACACCGCGCAAGAGATCACGGGCCTCGAGGCGCAGAAGCCCGAGCTGGAGAACAAGCGCGAGCAGAGCAAGGCAGCGGAGAAGGAGCTCCAGGCGCTCATCGACAACCTCTTGGCCATGCAGAAACGTGAGCGTGAAGGTGCTCTCGGAGAAGGAGCGGTGGGGGTGGGCGCCACAGCAGCAGCGCCTCGGTCCCCAGCAGCCTTGCTCAGCGAGGGCGAACGCGCCGCAGCTTGCTTGGAAGCTTTGGACCAGGCCTCTGGCATGCTCAATACAGGCTACGCTCAGCGATGGGAACATCAAGTCTCCCAGCTTCGTCGGCTGGCGCGCAGCGCCGCAGCAGCTGGCGCGGCAGCGGAACGCGACAGCGGCGACGAAGAGCTCGAGGAGGCCGACCTCAGCAACATCCTGGACAGCATGGAGGAGGAGGCCGAGGTCCCCGCGGAGGAGGGCAGCGCGGCAGCAGGTGCTGGCAGCGGCGACGAAGGGGCGCGACGCGGGGACCCTGCAGCCCAGGCCGCCCAGAAGCGCAGGCCTCGCGCGCAGAAAGCTCCTCCAGAGCCTCCGCTCTGCGGGGCTCGAGCGGAGGGGGAAGCGTGGGCGGCAAGCCCACGTTCACGGTGGTCAGCCTCAGCGGCAGCGGTTGGGGCCCCTTTTCACGGCCATCCTTGGCGGGCAGCAGGGCCCGCAGCAGCAGGCGGTCGCCGACGCGCACATGGGCGACGCGATCTGCTCCCAGGAGCACCACCTCAACGGCTGCCGAGCCTTCGAGCAGGAGCAGTGGTGCAGGCAGGTCGGCTGGGGCGCGGCGCTGACCCCAGGCGTGGGTTCCGCGGGGGCATCGCAGCAGCGCGCGGTGAGCGGTGGCACTGGAGCCGCAGTTCGCTCTACCCGCGGCATGTGCGGCCCAGGCGATCAGGGCTGCAAGGCCAGCTGCCACGTCTCTGACGACAGGGCCACGGTAGCCCATGTCAATGGAGCAGTACCTGGCGGGTTTCTGCTGGGCTCCGTATACCTTGACAGCGACGACGTCGGCGAGACCAGCCAGTCCGTACTGCAGGAGGTCGGCTGCCTCCTCAAGCGAACGGGGAAGCCGTGGGTCATCGCAGGCGACTGGAACGCGGGGCCCGAGCGCTTCCTTCAAAGCGCGAGGCATTCGCTCGGCTAAATCGGCGGTCACGTTGTCGACACGGGCGTGGGCACCTCCCTGGACATGACCGCCCAGGGGTGCGCCAATCCTTGCCGCCCACATATGGCAGTGCAGCTCAGCCTCACCTGCTACGGCGACATGTGCCAGTCGTTCAGGGCCAGGGGGCCGATGGCTTCCCCCAAGGCCCGCCCATTCGGGCTCGTGCTGGAGAAGTACTGGGACCACAACTCCGTGCGGGCCCAGATCGACATGAGCGGCACCTTGCAGGACATGGAGGAGGCCTACCAGGGGCTCTGCGGGAGCGTAGAGGAGGAGCTCGCCTGGGCTGACCAGATCGACCCCGGCGACGCCGACTTCCATCGGGGGCGGGGGGGCCCGCCGAAGTTGGTTTTCGGCTCCCGGGCGAAGGCGCGCCCCATCAAGGGCCCCAAGGCCAGCTTCAACGGGAAGAAGCTCACGCGCTCGAGCGACTACTTCACCCACGCGAGGCTTCTCACAGGCGGCGCCGAGGCCGACGACGGGGGACCCGCGTCTGACGCGCGCGCCGCGAGCTGGGCCCCGCGCGCCGCGAGGCCGAGCGCATGCAGGCCAGGGCCGTCAAGCGCTACGAGCGCGCGCTGGGGGTCTCCAACCCTAGCAGCCCCAACAACTGCGAGGACGAGGCCGAGTGGATGGAGAAGCGCGCGCCCCACATCTGCCGCGCGCTGGGCTTGCCGACGCACGCCGCCGCGGGCCAGGCGCAGGATCTCGGGAGCCGCAGGCGCACCGCGAGAGAGGCCTGCCCTTCTGCGCGGCGGCGCGGGGGCCCCGGCAGGCGAGAGCTGGTTCGTCTCCCTAGACAGCTCGGCCACCTACGCCCGAGGACGGGGGGGGGAGTTCCACCGAACGGTCGACAACTACCTGGAATCGAAGCGGTGGTTGGAGGAGCGCGGCGACCACCGCAGGCCCCTCCCCGGCGCCCTCGTCGCCTTCGATGTTTCGACCGGGCCTCCTGCGGATTGGGGGCCGCACCTGGGTGGCAACAATCTGAGTGGCGACCTGCGGGCGACGCCGCAGCCCCGTCTGAGTGGCGACCTACGGGCGACGCCACAGCCCCCAATCCTTTGCGCCGCTCTTGAGCGAGCGGCGGCCGTCGGCGCCTGGGGCGCCAGCGAGGCAGGCGCGCAGGGGGTTCGGAGAACCCTCCAGCGCCTCGCTCGAGGCTGGCTCCCGCACTTGCACGCCCCCGACCCAGAGCTCGATCGATCAGGCCGAGTGGATGGAGCCGTGCACGCACTATGCGTTCGCCCGCCTCAGCCAGTACGAGGGCGATGGCACCGCCGACGCGAATGCCGTGGAGGACCCCAGCGGCGCTGACGCAGGGGCTGCACTGGGAGCAGCATCTGCGAAGGGGGCCAGCGCGATCCCAATCCAGCCCCCTCCAGGCTCCTTCGCAGCACTGGCGGCAGCAGGTGGGGGTGACCCAGCAGCCCCTAGCACGGGGCATGCAGCATCGCCTTCGACGGCTGCACCCACAGGCAGCGGCAGCGCTGGCAGCGAGGGCGTGGGCGGCACCTGCACGGCTCAGCCGTTCACGGTGCGCGCAGCCGCGCGCGGGGACAGGGCCGTGGAGCTGTGCGAGGAGAGCTGGTCAGGCGCGCAGCCTCTGAGGGGACCACCGCGGCGTGGCCGCCCTAGAATCCAGCTCCCTGACGCGTGGGCAGTCGCGGACGACGAGCACCACAGCTACATCCAGTCCGTCAGGCATTTCATGCGCTACCACGGTGACCTTCTGCTGGATTCCAGCGATGACAGCGACGACGGCAGCAGCGGCGGCGGCGGCGCAGACGGCCGAGAGGCGCGCGCAGGTGCGGCAGCCCCGAGGCCCCCGACCCCGCTGGGAGCGCAGTGGGCCGCACGCGTAGCCCTGGCGGCCGACTGCCCCGACCTGCTGCCCCTGGCCGAATGGGCTGCCGAGGCCAGGGCTGCGGCCGAGGCGGAGGGCGCCGCCTTTGCCGACATCCGCGGCCAGGGGTTCAAGGAGTGGATCCGCACCTCCATGGCAGCAGGCGCAGGGGGCCTCCACGCCTATCGGCGAGGACCGCGCGGCTGGGCACCCGACGAAGAGCTACATGGCGCTCCAGAGCACGGCCCCGACCGAGTGAAGGTCGCGGCGCTGCAGTGGACCTCCGAGGTCTGGCGGGTTCGGCAGGGCAACGATTGGTTTCGCCCGCGGCGGCCGCCTACCGAGGCAGAGGCACTGCCCGGGCCCTCGGCCGATCGGGCGCGCCGGGCCGCCAAGACGCTCAGGCGCTGCACTGGCGTCGGCAGCGGTCGCTTAAACCCCAGAAAGGCAGCGGACCTCAGCGACGCCCTCCTCGAGGTCATCATCGACTTCGAGATGCGGTGCGAGGAGTTGGGCGGCTGGCCCGACGCCATCACCGACTCTCTCGCCGCGATGCTTCCTAAACCTCAAGGGGGCTTTCGGCCCATAAGCCTGCCGGGCTGGCTTCCACGCCTCTGGAGTCGCGTCCGTCAGCCAGACGCGCGGCGCTGGGACTCCCAGATCGACCCAGGCGTAGCCGGTGCATTCTGGGGCGGCCGCGGGCGCGCGGCCGAAGAGGCCGTCTGGTGGCAAGCGCTCCGAGCCGAGGCCTCGCAGGCACGAGGCGAGGGAGCTGCAGCACTCATCGACCTGTGGAAGGCCTACGAGCTAGTCGACCAGGCGATCATCCGGGACCGCAGCATTATGGCGGGGGGCGGCTGGGCAGGGCGCTGACCTTGCATGCTGGCGCGCGGCGCTTCATGCTCGACGGTAGCGTCTCCGACCCCTACCTGCT